ATTCATCTCCTCAAAATTCCATGTATGCATAGAAACCTCAGTTCTATTTCTATAAACACAGGAACTGAGTAACTGTTGTCTGTAATTTTGAATAAAATGTTGCTTATTGAGCCAAAGAGAAAAGAATGACTTCTTGACATGGAAATACTCAGAAAAAACAAGGTATGTTTTTAGCCCCTTTGTGGGGTTTTTGCCTTCCACACTCACCGTTGTTTTTGTTTTTCTTAATAGTGACAGTATGGATATAAACATTCCTCATAAATGTAGCTTGACCGAACCTGGGTAGGGAATTCATGTGATGCTCTCAAGCTTCTTTTCACGCTCCTGAGCTTGTCTTGTTCCTCAGCTGCTGTGGAGGTAGACGGTCTTCCCCGAGACGCTCTGGATTGCTACTTGTGGAGGTGCTTCCTCTTTTCGCGTTCCTGGTGCAGAATCACAGCGCTGGGTGGTAGCGCTAGGTGGCACCTTCGGACCATAGCATGCTTTGGTGGGAAGTATTTTGATTATGTACCTCCTGCCCACCAGGAGCAGGCAGCTTCTTATTGTGAGCTGGCTATTTCCATCCAAGCCGCAGTTAGGGACGAGACTAGGGAGGAATGAGAAAGGTCGAATGTACCTCGTCTGCAGAGAACACAGATCTTGTTTCTCAAAGATGGGAAAACCTGTAATAGAGGCTGGGAGACGGAACAGGCCATCAGCCTCCTAACGCAGAGATAGATGGCAGCCTCTCAAGACAAAGCAGTAGCTCTGATCACACCTACGTTTGGTCTGTTTTTGTTCCTTATTGTCAAAAAACTCAGCTGTGGGTCCGATGTGGTTTTTCTTATTTTTACCTTGTGCTATCTACTAAAATGAGCAAATGCCACAACAGTACTTTTCCAAAGAAGCAGAACTATTAACTATTTATAGCTGGTCATGTAGGTCGTGTTTCAGACTGAGGCTGGAACCTTCAGTGGCTGTGGGGAAAGTGATGTAAAATACATAAAAGTTATGCAGTATTGCAGTGTTGCTGTTTTTTGCTGTTGTTAGTGCATTATTGCATTTGAGTGTAGTAATATTTGTGATAGACTGAATATCGGTTCTAATCTTACCTTTGACTTTGGGAGCCCAAAATAAAGGAAGTGATCTTTTCATGTTATACCCTCTTTTTTCAGTCAAGCATTGATGCTTGAGAGATATGTGGTCTTCTATTTAACATTTTTATCACCTTGAATTTCTGTTACTTCCAAGCATGAGACTTGGTTCTCAACACTATGGATACGAAACTCCTTATTTAAAACATGAAAGTGTGAATATTTAGCCTACATTTTCATTTGTGTAGCTAACCAAATTTTATGATTCCTGAAAGAGTGCCTTCACTCAACCACACTTCACCATGTTTCCATAAAAGTGTAGTTTAAACACATCTGCTTTAAAGTAGAGATCAGGTGGACTGCATGAAAAAAATATTTTTAAAAAGCCTGTTGTAACATGGAAAGATTTCTCAGTGTAAGCTTAAACAAATGTTTTATTTAAACTGTTGACCTTTTGGAAAATACTGAACAAAGAAGAAGGATAACATTACTTGTCATTTTATGCAGACAAAGATAACATTTTTTTTTTAAATATATTTTATTGATTTTTTACAGAGAGGAAGGGAGAGAGAGAGAGAGAGTTAGAAACATCGATCAGCTGCCTCCTGCACATCTCCTACTGGGGATGTGCCCGCAACCCAGGTACATGCCCTTGACCGGAATCGAACCTGGGACCTTTCAGTCCGCAGGCTGACGCTCTATCCACTGAGCCAAACCGGTTTCGGCAAAGATAACATTTTTTTTCTTACTAACAAATAGTTCCTAAAAGCTAAGTATAATTCATCTTGTGATATAAAAGCCAATCAAGATTTAAAAGACAAGCCAGTTTTAAAAAGCTAATGACATTTTTAGAATACATCTTATGAATAAGAAAAAACATTAAAAATGTATTTTGTTATGTTTTTAAAGGGAAATATGCGTTTCCTATATAGTAAGTCAAATATTATGACTATAAATGTAAATATATTAATTTAAATTAATAATGCAAAAGCAAGACATAGTACAGCAAAGCATTTTTTTAATACAAAATAGAGTGGGTAAAGTGATTCACTCTTCTCAATAAACAAATAATTAACTTAATTCTAGTATAATTTCTCAACTGCCTGACTCAGGGAAGGAAGTAGCTCAAGGTGATTTCTAGTTTGGCACAGAGTGACAATTTGCTTTGTATTCTGTTTGGATCTTATTCTACATAATCCTAATTTTGTTTTCAAAGTAGATGTGAGCAACTTCCTTTTGTTTTTATTTTACTAGCATTTTCCTTCCTTCATAAAAGAGAGATAATTTAGGTAAGTATGGGCCTCTGCCTCTCAGCTCTCCTGTGTCTGTTGGCATGACTGCAGTGATACCTATACCAGGAAATACATTCTGCTGTCCTCAACCTTTAAAGTCCTGTGACTCTGCAGGCACTTCATAGCATTGCCGTGCCAAGAGTTTAACATTTCCAACCTGACAAACTTAAAAGGGGGCAGTGACACCGGGGCAGTCAATATGCTAAATAAGAAATAGCCTTAGCCACTTCTCATATGCTAGAAAGCTTTTGTATTAAAATTTTTTAATATAAAGATTTATTCTTCAAATACATAAACTGAACATTCAAACTTCTTAAAATTAAACGTTAGGAACAAGACTTGCACATTCAAACAAGAGTGTAGTTTACAGGGAACATACCCAGGAAGGTAACTTGTCTTTCTCAGAATACTGATAAAGATGATGAATAAAATGTACTTCACCAGCAGTTCTGTTCTGGCCAACATCTTTCTTAATGACCATCATTTCATATGTGAGGAGAAATTGCTAAACAAATCTTAGGCTAAACAACAGACTTGACCTATAATTCAGGGGGAATATTCAAAGCATGTAAGTGAACTAATAAAATTAAACTGTTCTGTAGAAATGGAAGTAAAAGCTTGTCAGTTATAATAATCTTAGCTTCTGGAAGGTAAGAATTAAGTTTTGTGTTTTACCCATTTTAAAAAACAAACTACAGGTTTGGTTTTCTTGAAGTCTTTGGTATTTGCATCTTGCAAATTCAAACCACAAATGCTCTTACATCTTCCATATACACCACTGCTGGGAAGAACAGCAAGGCACTGACTTCCTCACAACTTCAACGGATGGTTTTTAGCTTTGAGATTTTAGGTTTTCTAGGGACAGCCTATACTTGAGTATGTACGTCAATCATGCTACTCAAAGAATATTTTTAATGTGTTCTCTGTTCAGAAACTGTTCACAAATGCTTTTTTCATCAGATGGCTTTGCACATCTTTATAAAATCTAAAAATTGTCTCATGCAAGCATTTTGAATTAGCAGATTACCCTGTGGCAGAGTATTCAGAAATATTTGGTCTTATGAGCTCTGAGGCTGTGGGACATGGAGGTGGACCCTGGCTGTGCAGGTCATTGACATATGCCACCATCGGCTAGGCCTCTCCTCTGGCACAGTCCAATACTAAACACCATTTGTCTTTCTGCGTAATTTTTCCTATATCTTTCAGGGGCTGGTCAGATTCTTGGATTAATTTTTTAGATCTGTTCTGTAGTTGAACAGAGGACTTCAGGCTGCAGGACTGCCGGTCCCAGCCTCTTACCACAAAACTCACGTTGACTGTATTAACTGTTATACATTTGGTCTCTTTCAAAAGTGTTCTGAAGTCCATGTCTTTCTCGGATGTATTCTTTAAGCTCTTTGTTTTTTTTCCTGTCACTGGAGAACCTACTGCACTGAAGATCTTCCCTAATGATTTATTGTGCTACTTCTACATGGATGTTAAGGTAATTGCATTAGTTTCATCCAGACGTTGCCTCTTCTTTTGGTGTTCAAGGTATTTACTAAGGTTCTCTTTCTCCTTTCTCTTCAACAAAGATCTAGATTCCCAGTGGTGATCTATTTCAGTATCAGATCATGACACATCTGCAGAACATACCTCAACCACCCTGAGGGATAATACAGGAGGATTTTTCAAGGAAGTTCCAGGTTATCTCCTGAGGTCAGTACACCCCCAATCCTACCTGTCATACTGTTTTCCAAAACAGCTTAATTGACTTATACAATGTTATATGCCAATTATATTTTAATTTTTAAAAATGAAAAAGAAACAGCTTTATTAGGTATAATTCCCATAGGATACATATAAAATATACATTTTCATGGGTTTTAGTATATTCAGAGTTATGCAACCAAAACCTAACTTTACAATGTTTTCATCACCCCAACAAGAAACCCCATATCCAGTTACTCTCCATTACATCCAGAGCCCTAGCAACCACTGATCTACCTCTCCCACACATTTCCTATAAACAGGATCATACAATATGTGATCCTTTGTGACTGGCCTCTTTTACTTAGTGTTTTCAAGGTTCATTCGTGTGTAGCACGTATCAGTACTTCACTCCTTTTTACTGCCGAATGTTTTATTGTATAGATATACCACATTTTTTATTTACTTGTTTATCAGTTGGTGGGCATTTGGATTGTTTTGGGCTATTATGAAATAATGCTGCTATGAACATTTGTGTACACGTGTTTTGTAGACATGTGTTTTTAGTTTTGTTGGTTGAAACCTAGGAGTAAACCTGCTGAATCAGGTAACTATGTTTAACCTTTTGAGCAGCTGACAGTCTGTTTTCCAAAGCAGCTGGTCTATTTTTTGTTCCCACCAGCAATAGATGAGGGTTCTGATTTCTCCACATCTCCCCCATTAGTAGTTATCTCCCGTTTTGATTACAGCCATTCTAGTGCATGTGGTGGATGTGTAGTATCTCATTGTGGTTTTGATTTGTATTTCCCTGATGAATAATGGTGTTGAGTATTTTTTTTTTATGTGCTAATTCAGTGGTCGGCAAACTGTGGCTCGCAAGCCACATGCGGCTCTTTGGCCCCTTGAGTGTGGCCACGAAGTTTCAATCGCACTGTACGTGCGTGCCCGCACGTGGTATTTTGTGGAAGAGCCACACTCAAGGGGCCGCAGTTTGCCGACCACTGTGCTAATTGACCGTTTCTTATACTGGTTTTTGCTTCTTATAAAAACTGCTGACAAATCCAGAAACATTTTCAAAATACAGGGTATGTTTTTCAGTGCTAAGAAAACTGTTCCAGTGCGGCTTTTCTTTGCCCTGTGTGACGTGCCATACTCCACGTTCTGATATTCTGCTAGAGTGTTGTACATACAGTTTGACTTGACTTTGGGCTGCCTGTCGTTGAGCCTAAGCTCAAAAAACACATGGAGACCTTGAAAATCTTTCAGGATAATGCTATAGTTAAGATTTTGCTAAAGCAAGTGTTCTTTCTAACTCCTTGAGCTGCATGTTGCCTTGTGTAATCATCATCCGGATTGTAACCTGTAAGAGAAAGTGAGATCTGGTCACTGTTTTACCTGGTTAATCAAGGTGCCGCTGTATGATTGTATTTGTTCAAGTTAAGAACCAATGCTGAGAATTCAAACTGCTGCGTATTAGAGAAGCCAAAAATCTAACAATCAGGAGTGTACGGTGTCTGACAGTCATACTTCCCAGACCCTCCTGCTGTAATATTTACAATATTTTCCTCTGTGTGTGTTGGGGGGAAGGGAGTGTTAAAGAGAAAAGTCAGGTGATGCTAGTGTAGAATGTAGATACTGATAGTAAAGACTGTAAAATTTTAAATAGTTAAGGAAGTGGAAAATCAGTAACATTAGAGCAATGATCAAGATATCTCATCTCAGTGCCATTTATATTCCAAGATGTCTACCAAACGTTTTTAAAAATTCACTGAACAATACAAAAAAGGGTCAGGGACTGTCGTTACTATGAGCTTGTTCTTACCTCGTCAGTGGCACTTTTGTTTCTTTTGAATTCTTCCCTTGCCCAGTCCTTCAGGTATTTGCGATCAGAATCCTTTGGAACTTGCCGAATGGCTTGCAAAATCCTTCTGTAGAGAAGGAGGACTTGCTGCCTTCTCATGAACTGTGCAGGGGAGGAGAGAGGGCCATTACAGCTGCACCATTTACAGCCCAGAGGGCTCCACTTTAGCAAACCAGACTGTAACCACATTACTTCTCTTTGGTCCTTAGTTTTGAAAAGGACAAAGAAAAATCCTCTTTTATTTTTCTTTGAAGAAAACAAGTTTACTTGGGCTGTTTGTTTGCTCTGTCAAACGTAAGAGCCCTTAAAATCTAGAGCCGACTATTGGGCAGAAAAAGGGCTCCCAGAAGAAGAAACTGTAACCACAACAGCACTTTTTCTAAGTTCAGGCAGTTGTGAAAATCCCCTGGTAACCTCATTTGCTCTTTTCCACGGATCAGTGTAACAGGCAGAGCAGTTCCCGAGGCGTCAGGGCTCCAGGAGATCAAGAGCCTGCCCAGCCTTTCTGTCCGACAAGACTGGTTTCTGCCTACACGGCCCCGCCCCTCCCTAAAAAAAATCCCAGCCACACCTCCCAGGGAAGCCCCGCCCCTCCGGCCCAGCCCCGTCAGAGGGCGCGCGGGGTCACCGGCCCCAGTTGCTCCCCAGACGCACCCCGTAGGTTGGGTGCAGAGAGAGACGGAGAGTTGAGCTGAGACCTGGGGAAGCTGTCCCAGAGGCCCGGGAAAATAGCTGGTACCTGCTTTAGCGTTAGTGTCGCTGGGGGTAAGCGGGAAGTAGCCATGTCCTCCACGCCGCCGGTTGGCTAGAGCCACAGTGCGCAGGAGCGGAAGTGGAGAGTGGGACGAGGGGGCGGGCCGAGTTCGGTTTCCTGGGAGACGCCTGCAGCTTGGGCGTCGGCCTGGAGAGCCGAGCTGTGGAATCAGCTTGTAGCCTGGGCACTGTTGTCTGGGCCTGAGTGTCCGGGTAAAAGGGGATGGCAGTTTGTCATAGATGGTTGAGAATGGAGTGAGTGGAAAGGCATTTAGCACAGTTCCTGACACATGGTTATGCGTTTCATTAAATGGAAGTTCAGTTTTTTGGGGGTGAGGGGGGAAATTACTCTGGTGTACTCCTTTTGAACTTTTTTAACTAGTAATATATATAATTAGGAATGTTATAAGCTTAAATGTTAATTTATTTTTGAATTCGTGCCCTCTTCCTTTGTCTTTTTCATTCTCATCCTGCCCTTTTTTTTTATTGCATTTTCCTGGCAGCGTGGTGGTCTTCACGAGGCTTTCAATGGCCGCCCCATTGCAGCTGTAAGAACTTTGTATCGCTAATAACAAGGAAATGCACATCCTATGTCTTCATTTCCTCATTATTTTGCCCTCCCCACAACACACACACACAAGCATTTAGGTCATGTTACTATAAGGGGGTTAGTGAATCTTGGCTATATTTCTTTTCTAAATAGGGTTGTTCCAAATTAAAATACAACCAAACAGGATCATTCAATGATCTGTTTACTTGATGAACATTTACAAAAATGTCCCATTACCTGTTGCCTCGCTTTTTGGAATCCTTGGTGCTTCCTTTTCCAAATTGTGTTCTGGGTCTGTGAAGTGAGATGATAGCATCTCCCTCAGAGTCCTTGTGTGTATAATGCACTGAGAACAGGGTGTGGCACATATAAGCACTCTAATGGTGAGGTTTTTTTTAACATTACCAGGCTTACCCCATGACCACTTTTTCAAAATTTGTGTACTAATTAGCAATAGCAATTCATGACTTTTTTTTCCCTTTTAATTATTAGTGAAGTTTGCCCAGCCATTGTGGCTCAGTGGTTGAGCTATGAACCGGGAGCTTCCAGTTCAATTCCTGGTCAGGGCACATGGCTGGGTTGTGGGCTCCATCCCGTGTGGGGCATGCAAGAGGCAGTTATCAATGATTCTCTCTCATCATTGATGTTTCTCTCTCTCCTCTCCCCTCGTCTCTGAAATCAATAAAAATACACTTAAATGTTAGTGAAGTTAAATACCCCTGACAACTTTTAGTTACACTTATTTTTTGAATTGTCATGACTTTGGTCCATTAATGCTGATTAAGACTTTTTTATATAATTAATTCATTTACTTTTTAAATTCTTTATTGTTTAAGGACTTTATTCTAATCTTATGTGGGTTGTTTGCTTGTTTGTTTGTTTTTTAATTTGGTCCTTTATGTAGCTTTAAGTTTCTATACAATAATGTGTATTTTTTGAGGCTTTTCAATTTTTAAATTTTTTTTTCATTGTTAATGTTTAAAATATTTACTCCATCTAGAATTTATTTTGATTCATGGCATGATATGGATGTTAAGTTCTTTTTCAGCTGCTAAACTATACTTTTGATACCATTTAATAGTTTATTCCTCTTCCTGGACTTTGCGATACCTATATGGTAAATTCTCTTAGGATTTGAATAATCTATTCAGAATTATTTCATCTGGGACTCATTTTTAATTTTTGTTGTGTTGTTTTTTATCTGGCAAGAAGACTCCTCTGTAGTTTCTTGCACAAATCTTATTAATCTTCTATACAACCTTTAGAAATATTTTCTATCATTTCTCTCCAAATCATCTTAGGATCTTTATTACAATTTTGACAGTGTTCAACCTATCCTTTCTATATAATAAAAGGCTAATATACAAATTGTCCCCTCAACCAGGAGTTCGACCAGGGTGGGGCCAGCCGGCCAACCGCCTTCAGCCCCTCCCCCTGGCTGG